GGTTAAAAACTAAAGAAACATGAATAGCCCAGTGAATTAAGCATTGTCCCATGGACTCAGAGGTCCAGGTTCAATTCCCAGGCATGCTCAGGTTGAGGGCTCAATCCCCAGTAGGGGGCGTGTGGGAGGCAGCCAGTCGATGTTTCTCACATTAATGTTTCTATCTCTCTCTCCTGTCCTCTCTCTCTAAAAAAATTAATAAAAACATATTTGAAAACAAACAAACAAAAAATAAACATGAATAGAGTATGAACTTTAGTTAATAATAATGCATCAATACTGGTTCATCAGGTGACAAATGTACCATACTAATGTAGGATGTTAATGATAGAGGAAACTAGATGTGGAGTATATGGGAACTATCTGCACTATCTCTGCAACTTTTCTACAAATCTAAAACAATTCTAAAATAAGAAGTTTATTTTTTAAAGATAATGGCTAAATGTTCCATAAAAAGACCATGTAGGCAAAGCGTCCCTAAAGGGGCTGAGAGACTGAAGAATGAGATAGCAGAATCCAGCTTGTTGGTTGATAGGTTTACTGTAATAGGGAATTTATAGGAAACACTTGTTTTGGACTCTTGCAAAACAGCCAAATCTCCATCTTTCCCCTCCTAGATCACCATCTTTTATCCCCACTCAGAGACAGACCTACATGCTCCAAAAGGACTGTGTGGGTGGTCAGGGAAAACAAAGAAGACAGATACCAGCAGACCCTGGTGCCAGAGTGAGCTAAGAGATAGGTAGCTTCTAGAGCTCCTTGTCTTAGAGGAAGAAGTAATAGAAGCTCTAGCCTGAAACCTCTGGATACATTCCAGAGTCCACCCAGGAGAAGGGGAGGAGGGGTCAAAGGCCTGGACTCATTCACTCAGAAATTAAGCAGGTGGATTATTTTCAAGATGGAGTCAGCTCAGCTCTGTCTACACACTAAGAACTTCCCCAAGCTAATATAAAAAAAGATTCAATAGCTCACAGATTCAAGGAGCTCTGAGAACGCCAAGCTGAATGAATAAAAAGAAAATCATATACATCAGAGTAAAAAGACAATGAGAATAACATTCTAATGTGGCTAGAAAAAAAGGCATATCACATCCAAAGAAATAATAAGACTTATAGCTGACTTCTTAACAGAAACAATGGAAACCAGAAGACACTGTAAACACATCTTTAAAGTGCTGAAAATGGAAAGACACATGCATTTCCTTCTGTCTCTTTCCCTTAAGGAATGTAAATGTAGTACTGAGCCATGCAGAAGAGGACACACAGTATAGCAACAAGACAGAAGAGCCTATGTCCTTGACACCAGTGAGGCACCACACCAGGCTTTTGAGAAGAGAAATACACCTTCTGTTTTGCTTAAAAACAAAAAGGCCTGGCTAGTTTGGCTCAGCGGTTAGAGCATCAGCCTGCGGACAGGAGAGTCCCGGGTTTGGTTCCCACTGAGGGCACGTACCTCGGTTTTGGTTTGTCCCCAGCCCAGGTTGGGGTTGTATGGGTGGCAGCCACTGAGGTCATCAATGTTTCTCTCTCTCTCTTCCTGCCTCTCTCCCTCCTGCTCTATCTAAAGATAAATGTGAAAATGTCCTTGGGTGAGTATAAAAAAAAAAGAAATAAAAAGAATCAGAAGTTAACTTGAAGAAACTACTAATGGCAAAAGGTGGGACAATTTGTGCATCATTAAGGATAATAACCACAATGGATTTAAACACATCAAACATATTTAAAACCATGGGTTTATAGGTAGAAAAAATAAAAACTCACCCTTGCCGGTTTGGCTCAGCAGTTAGAGCGTCGGCCTGTGGACCAGAGAGTCCCAGTTTCATTTCCCACAAGGAGCATGTACCTCAGTTGCAGTTTGTCCCAGGCCGTGTTGGGGTCGTGTGGGTGGCGACCACTTGATGTATCTCTCTCACATCGATGTTTCTCTCTCTCTCTTCTTCCCTCTCTCCCTCCTGCTCTATCTTAAGATAAATGCAAAAATGTAGCCAGGTGAGGATAAAAAAGAAAAAATAAGAACTCATTGGTAACCTCTGGAAGATGCCAGGAAACCAATTCATTATTCTGAAAATTAGTAAACATATCCTTCCTTTCTTGTATAAGCTATACCTCATTGTAATGAGGCAGTTAAAGAAAATGCATTCTTAATAGAATTCCAGCTAATAAATAAAGAACAATGGTAGAATTAGAAGATCACCATTTTATAGCCCCTGATGAATAATAGATCTAGGACAGGGGATTAAAACCATTAATGGTAAAACTGATAGGTGACTTTGGATCTGTCTGACAATATCTGAACTCCATGATCAATCTTAACAATAAAAAAAGGGACAACCAGCCCTGGCCGGTTTGGCTCAGCGGTTAGAGCATTGGCCTGCGGTCCAGAGAGACCGGGGTTCGTTTCCCGCTAAGGGCATGTACCTCGGTTGCAATTTGTCCCCGGCCCTGGTTGGTCATGCGGGTGGCAGCCACTCGATGTGTCCCTTTCACGTCGATGTTTTTCTCTCTTCCTCTCTCTCCCTCCCACTCTATCTGAACAAAAAATGGAAAAATGTCCTCGGGTGAGGATGAAAAAAAAAGACAACCAGACATTTTCTGCCTCCTGATGAGATGCAATAGGATGCATACTAAACACCTAAGTTACATTCTTACCTAAAACTAAAATCTCTGACTGATTAAGGCTACATCTAACTACTTATTTATAAGAAAAGAGGAGATAGAAGACATAGTAAACAATACCAGGGAGTACAATCAGCAAATGCCAAAATATAGGACACTACAGGACAAACAACCCAATTTCTTCAATAAATAAATGGTAAGGTAAAAGAGAGAGACAGAAGAGGGAGAGAAATTATATATTAAGAGAAATTTAAGAGATGTATCAACCAAATACATATGGGCTTTGAATCCTGATTTGAACAAACTATAAAACACACACACATATATACACATACATATGAAACAATTGGGGAAATCTGAATGCTAACTGAATAGTTTATAATGCTAAGGACTAACAATATTTAGATGTGATGATATTTTATTATATTAAAAGCATCCTTATATTTTAGAGATATATAATGTTGTTATTTACAGATGAAATGGTATGATTACTGGAATTTGCTTCAAAATAATCTGGTGGGGGCAGGGAGAATTGTTGGATGTATAAATGAAACAGCACTGGTATGTGCTGATAATCTTTGTAGTGAAGTAATAGATCCATAGGAGTTTCTTAGTCCCTACACTTTTACATATGTTTGAAATTTTAGACAATAAAAATGTTTAAAGGGGTTGGGGGAGGCCTTGTATGCCATGCTTTCAAGTTTGGCCTGATCACATTTAACCAAGTCAATTAAAGGAGTTTATAGTTGACAAGGTTTTAAATAAACTCTATGTAGAGTTTATGGAAAGAAAGTAAGGTATACTCCTGGGACATTAGTCTGACATGCAAAATGAATTGTAGAGGATGGAGATCAGAGTTAAGAAGTGCTGATAAGGGGCTGTTGCTAAGTGATCCCAGCATCCAGATTACAGTGCATGCAATGGGAGAGAGTGATAGCTAAATAAAATAAAAGCAGGCTCTAAGGTTTTAAGCCTGAGTCAGTAGGACCTTGGTAATACTGTGAGAGACAAAGAAATTAAAGTGACAGGCTGACTTAAAGAGAGGAAGGGAAAAGAAAATTGGAACTCTTTTTTTTTTTAATCCTCACCCGAGGACATTTCTCCATTTTTTGTACAGATAGAGTGGGAGGGAAAGAGAGAGAGAGAAACATCGATGTGAAAGGGACACATCGAGTGGCTGCCACCCGCACGACCAACCAGGGCTGGGGACAAACTGCAACAGAAGTACGTGCCCTTAGCGGGAACCGAACCCGGGTCTCTCCGGACCACAGGCCGACGCTCTAACCGCTAAGCCAAACCGGCCAGGGCAAGAAAATTGGAACTCTTAATGTTAAATCTGAGGTGACAGAATAGTAAAGTATTTCTTAGTCTCTCTGTGGTGAGATCTCCTGAAGCCTTTTGAACGAATGGTAGAGGACTCCATGGTGAAGAGTACTGTGTTAGGAGTCTGAAGGCTGAATTCTATTAGTGATCCTCACAACAGCCATATCTACAGTTTCGAGCAAACCATGCTGAATCTCATAAATGTCATCATAAAATAGGGAGACTAGACACTAGAAAATATCTGTAGTGCCTTTCAAATTTAATTTTATAGTGAAAACTCTCAGTGATATATCTACCAGGTATTTTTAAAACTCATTCAACAAATAATTAAGTACTTTCTTACAAAATACTATACTAGCAATGTTTACAAGCGGAAATAGGAGATTAACATTTGGGCACAGGAAAAGACACGAAATACATATTTTGAACTCATCAAAATAGGAATGACAGTTTGAGGTCATGAGAATGAATGAGCTCATTGAGAAAGCATATGGAAGAGCAGAAGAATAAGAACCGAGCCTTGAAGAAAGCTCACAGCTGGGGATGTAGGGGATAAAGAGGAACCAGTGAAGGAAAGAGAATAATCAGTTAGAAAAACAGAAGAGAAACAAGTTAGACAAGTGACATTAGGGCCACTAAAACCCGAGTGAATTTTAAGAAACAGAAGCCCAGCCAAACCAAGTGCTAAGAAAGAACTTTTAGATTTGCTAATAAGGAGGTCTCAAACAATTTTAAAGAAATTAATTTTGGAAAATGGACAACAAGGAATATGGGAGGAAACACATCTACATAATCCCATACTTTCTTTGGGAACATATATACATAAACCCTAAAAGACTTGTTAGCCTCCAGATACAATGAAAAGTAAACTGACCCATGGAGCTCACCCAGACTATCAACCTCACTGTTCAGAAACAGAATCTCTTGGGTTCACAGCTGCATTTTATTACATGGTCTTTTACTCTTACTTGCAAAGACACACTCTTATGAACCATCAAGAGGATAAATACCTAATAGGAAACACATAAGAATAAAAACAAGAAGGAAAAACCAGCTACTCACAATACTCCTTCACCTCTTTGTTCTCCAATAACTACTTGTACCACCATTTTATATCGGTCAAATCCCATTTCTAGAAAGAAACAAGAAAAAAGTTATCTATGAGCAAATACATGGTAAAATTACTTAATGAAGGCAAATTTGCCTGGAAAAGAACATAAGCATTCAGTCTACAAGAACTCACTGAATATGATGATAAGTATGGGAGTCAAAGAGACCTGAGGACAAATCCTACCTTGTAAATTTAGTAAGTGTGTAACCTTAGATAAGCAAAATCCTGAAAATTCTCACTAATAACAAATCTGGAGAGAAAACTGAATGGGTATCTTTATCTTTCCCCTTTTCTGACCAGGGAATAGTAGAAACAGTAACAACAACAAAAATGTGAAATGGGCAAAGTTAGCACTGGCCGGTTTGGCTCAGTGGTTAGAGTGTCGGCCTGCAGTCCAGAGAGACCCAGGTTCGGTTCCCGCTAAGGGGCACGTACCTTGGTTGCAGTTTGTCCCCGGCCCTGGTTGGTCGTGCGGGTGGCAGCCACTCGATGTGTCCCTTTCACGTTGATGTTTCTCTCTCTCTCTCTCCCCCTCCCACTCTATCTGTACAAAAAATGGAAAAATGTCCTTGGGTGAGGATTAAAAAAAAAAAAAAAGATATGAAATGGGCAAAGCTGAAACAGAGCCAACTCTCTTTGATAATAGTAAAAGCTTCACGATTACATAGTAAATTAGGCAAACAATCTGAACTCTACAGATACCCTTCCATGTGGGACATGAACCCTAATTCAGGATACTTGACAAAATCTCAGAGGAAGGGAGAGCCCAAGTTATTTTAAAAACACTGAACAGAGGCCCTGGCCGGGTGGCTCAGTTGATTGGAGCACCTTCCCATATACCAAAAAGGTTGCAGGTTTGATTCCCTGTCAGGGCATGTACAGGAGACAACCGATCAGTATTTCTGTCTCTTTCTCTCTCTTTCTGTATCTTTCTCTCTCTCTCTCTCTCTCTCTCCCCCTCCCTCCTTTCCTCCCTCCTTCCTTTTCTCTCTCTAAACAGACCCTCTGGTAAGGATGGAAAAGAAAAGAACACTGCACACAGCTTAGCTGACCTTCCTCCTTCCCCTACCCATTTCTCCTCCTCCTTTTCTCATACCCATGCTTAGAATTGTAGCTAGAATGTTAAATATTCAGCCCTTAAATCATAGTTCTGAGAGAAAAATAAAACTTTCTCAGATACAGTGAGAAGAGAGTTTTTAAAAATTGCCCACAATATATCAAAACAAAATAAAAAGAAGCTGAATAGCAGTATGCAAAGGTGGAACAGCAAAAACAAACAAAAGAACAAACAGGAAAGAAAGAAGCATACTGTTTAAAACAGGAAAAACTCAGCCTAGGAGATAATATAAACAGAAATTCTTCACAACTGATTCACGATGTAGAACAACATAAGCTCTTAAATTCAGTAACATAGAACTCAAACAGATTATAAAATAACAGAAAGAGCCCAGCCGGTGTGGCTCAGTGGATGAGTGTCGACCCATGCACCAAGAGGTCACCAGTTTGATTCTACATGCCCAGGCTGTGGGCCTGATCCCCAGTGAGGGGCATGCTGGAGGCAGCCAATCAGTGTTCTCTCTCATCGATGTTTCTATCTCTCTCTCCCTCTCCCTCTCTAACATCAATAAAGGGGGGAAAATAAAAAAACACACAGAAAGATAAAAAGGGATATTGATGTTCTTGGAAACAAATGGAACACCCACACTGTTATTAGCAGTGCAGAACTAATACATTTAAAATGGCAACAGACAAAACAGACACAAATGAAAACTGATTTACTGGTTTAAAAAATATTCACAAGTAGCCCCAACCAGTGTTGCTCAATGGTTAGAGCGTTGGCCTAAGCACCGAAGGGTTGTGGGTTCGATTCCCAGTCAAGGGCACAAATGTAACCAATTGATGTGTCTCTCTCACAGGGATGTTTCTTTCTCTCTCTCCCCTACCTCCCTTTCCACTCTCTCTAAAAAAAAAACAATCAATGAAAAAAAATATCCTTAGATGAGGATTAATAAAATAAGTAAATAGATGATCACAAATAAACGTCAAAGAAAAAGGAAGAAATTACAGCAGAAAAAATCTAATAGGTGTGGAAGACAAAGATGTCTTATTTCACAATACAATGTCTTATTTCACTGAATGTTTGGCCCTGGCCGGTTTGGCTCAGCAGTTAGAGCATTGGGCCCGCGGACCAGAGAGTCCCGAGTTTGTTCCCACTAAGGGCACGTATCTCGGTTGTGGTTTGTCCCCAGCCCTGGTTGAGGTCGTGTGGGTGACGGCCACTAGGTGTGTCTCTCTCACATCGATTTTTCTCTCTCTTCTTCCATCTCTCCCTCCCATCTATCTGAACAAAAAATGGAAAAATGTCCTTGGGTGAGGAAAAGAAAATGAATGTTTGAAGGGAACAAATCATTTCTAATTATCACCATTATTACCTTTTAATTTATCTTTAATATGTTCTGATAAACGTTTTGTGAGCTGAGGCATTTCTTCTGGAGAGTATTCAGCATTTGCCAGTTCCTTCTTGAGCACAGCATGGATACAGTCTTTAACCACAGAGGGCCTGAACCTGAATGAAACAGTATGAAACATCTAATTGGTAAATCTAAAACCCCAACTTACCTTCACAGCTCAATTTCCTCCAGCTCTTTGTCATTAGAACCATTTCATCTTTCTTTTTCATATTATTATAAAAGCAATTTTTAAAAAATCAAGAAAGCAAGTCGTATCTCTCCCCTGAACTTCAGACCACACATTCCAACACATATTCCATCTGTATGTCTAGTAGGCAACTCAAATTTAATACATCAACACTGAGCTTCTGATTGTCTCCTTTCCCCAAAACTAGGTCCTCCTCTGGTCACCTCCATCTCAATAGTAACCCCATTCTTCCAGTTGCTCAAGCCAAAAAATGTGGTGTCAGTCTTGTTGCCTCTCTCTCTCACAGCCCATATCCCATTCATGAACAAATCTTATCACTTCTACCTTCAAAATAATCTAAAATTCAATCATTCTCACTACCTGACTGCCCACCTTGCTCCAAGCTACCATTACTTCTTGCCTGGACTACAATGGCTTCCTAACATGTCTCTCTATGTCTGCCTTTGTCCTCCTATTCTCAACACAGCAACTGGACTGGTCCTATTAAACTGTATGTCGGATCATGACCACTCCTCTATGCCAAATACCCCACATAGTTCCTACATCACTCAAAGTAAAAGCAATATCCTGTGATTTGCAGGGCCCTATATGATCTACCCTACCAAACTCTCTGACCTCGTTTCTTACTACTTTCCTCCTAGTTTTCTCCACTGAGGCCCTACTGGCCATCACTGTGTTCTTTAACCACACCAAGCATGCAGACTTCAGTGTTTCTGCACTTATTGTTAACTTCTGTCTGAACTTCAATTCTTCCTTTTATGGGTAGCTAGTTCCCTCACTTCTTTATTCAAAAGTCACTTTTCCTTGCCACCGTCTCTAAAACTTCAAACTACCCTCTTACCATATTACTTTATATCTCCCCTCCTAGTACTTATTACTATCTGATACACTATATGGTTCTTTTATTTATTTATCTTGTTTGTTGTCCTTTTACCTAGCTAGACTGTAAATCCCATGTTTTTATCTGTTTTGTTCATTATTACATCCCCGTTTCTCAGGACAGTACTCAGCACACAATAAACAATAAATTTTTTTTTGAAGACATGGATTATTGCCCTGGCCAGTGTGGCTCAGTTGGTTGAGTGTTGTCCTGCTCATGGAAAGTTTGCTGGTTTGATTCCCGGTCAGGGCACATGCCTGGGTTTCAGGCTTGATCCCTGGGCTCCATGTTTCTCTCTCTCTCTCTCTCTCTCTCTCTCTCTCTCTCTCTCTCTCTCTCCCCCTCTCCCTTCCTCTCTCTAATAAAAAAAAAATCAATAAAAATATTTTTAAAAAGAAATGGGTGAATGGGTCCATGCTCAACCACAGAGTCACACCAGTCTGGTCCCTTATTACATTTTAACAGTATTTTCTTTGGTCTCTTCCCTGCTTATTCCTACAGATGAACTTCAGAATCATTGACAAATTTGCAGGATTTAATCTGTTCAAAAGGTGTTCTACCCATTAACAAATATACTATATCTGGCTCTTCCCTTAAACCTTTCCATTCTTAGTAAATGTTAAAAGTTTTCTTCAAATAACTCACAAATAATTTCATAGGAATATATATATATATATTGAATCATGTTCTGCACCGTTTTACAGCAGGAACACCATCAAATATCATTCTATGCATTTAGAATCTTTTATGACGATAACTGAACATATCTTTTTTTTTTTGGACTGTGCATGCAAACGCTCTAACCACTGAACAAACCAGTCAGGGCAAACATATCTCTTTTTTTATGTCCATTCTACCCACCAGAAAACTGCTGCATGAAAATTTTTATCACATTATAAACAAAGTTCCTGGCTTCCAGTATTTGCCAAGCATTTGAGCAATCAGGTTTTATTTTATTTTTTATTAATCCTCACCTGAGAATATTTTTTCCATTTATTTTTGGAGAGTGTGGAAGGGAGGAAGGAGGGGGGAAGGGAAGGGGGAGGGGGGCATTGATTGGTTGCTTTCTGCAGGCATTGGGACTGGGCTAGGGACCCAACCTGCAAGCCAGGTACGTGCCCTGGCCGAGAATCCAACCGTGATCCCTCAGGTGCTCCGGGGGGCGCTCTAACCTCTGAGCAACACCAGCCAGGACTCAGCAATCTGAAGCAACAGAGGAGCTTGGGAGATGTTTTACTTTTACTTTTTCTTTGATCTTGTGAAAATGAAGTTATTTATGTATCCTACAGGCCTAGCAGATAGCACACTGTTCTCTGCACTAGACTGTGTGCCTTAATTCTGGGACGGTGCCACGGCAGAAGGCTCAGGGCCTCCACATACATCCAGGTCCCCTGCCCTGCAGAGGAGTAAGCTATTCTGGCACATGTATGCACACAGTTACCTTCAAACTTCGGCTGAATGGCACTCGACACAAGCCGCTTGTTTCCTACCCCTGTTTTCCATCCATCTCCCTTCACTCGGTGCTCACGTCCTTGGTCTCCTGGACTCCAGAGTCAACCATCCCCACTGTGCTAGCCTTCGGCGCCCCCAGCGATCTAACACTGCAACTGCAGGTCGGGTCCTCTGCTGCCCACGGCAGCTGAAGCCCAAGAACAGCGCCCCGCTCCCCGCCCCGCCCCTCCCTTTCAGTCCCATCCTACCCCGCCCCCCCAGCCCGGCCCCGCCCCGCCCCTCCCTTTCAGTCCCGTCCTACCCCGCCCTCCCCAGCCCGGCCCCGCCCCGCCCCACCCGAGGCTCCCCGCGGGATTCCTCCCGACACTCGGCTTCCAGGGGAGCTCTGCCTGCCCGGCCCAGCAGCCTCGCACGTCGCCCCGCCACTACCCGGCCGCTACCCGCCTTTGCTGGAAAATGGGCCGCAAAATATAGGTGTTCTCGGGCTCTCCAGAGTTCTTCTCAGCCTCAGGCAACCCGTCTGCCACAGAGAAGGACGCGCCCATAGAGAACGACGCAGTGCCAAACGAAGTCATGGCCAGGGCTTCCTTGTCCCGTGTATCTCGCGAGGGACTGGAGGGTTGCGGCGAGGAGCTGGGAAGCCGTCGCCAGGGCAACTGACGTGACGCAGTCGCGCGCTCTCCGCAGTAGGGCTCCCCCTTCTCTGCAGGCTCTGCGCTGCGCGTGCGCGCCGCTGCTGGGCGGGAACTGGCCCCTGAGAGCGACTCTGACTTCGGCCAAAATTGATGTAGTTCTGCTTGGTTTACAAATTACTTTAATACGCATTAGCTTTTATTAACCGCGCTACAGGTGTAAGAAATTGACAAGGAACCTGAGGTCCATAGAGGTCCAAGGATACACAGCTAGTGAGCATCGGACCCCTGACTCTAATTCAAGTCTTCAAATTGTGACCTGCAGACCAAATCCAGCCTTCATCCTGTTTTGTACGACTTGTGAACAGGTTTTATATTTTTTAAATGACTGAAAAAGATCAAAAGAAGAATGATATTTCATGACAGGTGAAGATTACAGGAAATCAAATGTTTCAATATCCAGAAATAAAGTTTTATTGTAAAATAACCATGCTCACATATTGTCTATGGCTACTTTTGCTCTATACTGGCAGAATTGAGCAGTTGCAACAGAGGCCTTAGGGCTCTCAAAGTCTAAAATATTGTCTGACCCCTTACAGAAAGAGTTTTCAGTGACCTGCTCTAATCTATAACTGCCAAGCTGAAATTTCCCCAGTCTCACCCACACCCCTGCTCCATTGCAAAAGTCAGAAGGAGCATACTTGGGGTGCTATCCCTGCTAATAAGCCCGTCTCTGGTTCTACTTGCTGTAGTATCCTGGCCTCTGCCAATTTCAAAAACTAAGAAAAGAAATTTTCCTAATATCCATGTAGGCTTCCTTTGGTAACATTTAACCTACTGATTGGATCAAAAAATTACAAAACTTGCTACTAATAAGATGCAAAGGGAATAGTTTCTATAAAAGTATACCTTTGCAAGTTCCACTAGAAATCAACTAATTTTACTATTCCAGGTTTTGTTTTACAAAGTTTATTCTTGACAGTATTACCTACATTGGTCTCCCAGACTCCAATAAACTCACCCCACCCTCACCTTCCTAGTCCATCCATCACACTGCCCCCAGAATGGCTTTCCTTTGTCACTGGTCTGCATCTTTTGATGGCTCCCTGTGGCTGTCCCCCCACAATTCACAATTCTTTGCTTGCAGATAAGACCCTTCACGATCTGGCTGGGTTGCTGAACCCTCCTCCTGACACTGGCCAGCAGAGTGGAGTCTGTGCAAGGGCCACAGGGCCAGGTGTGAACTAGCACCAGCTCAGTGCTGCCTCAATTACACCCTCTTTGCTGCCCCTTGGTTCAGCAGCACCAGCCCCATCTCTGGTTGGGGTCATTCATTCACAGGTCATCCTGGTCCCTACCTGGCACAGAAGTCCAGTGTCTCCTAGAGGCAGATAGTGTGTTTTTGCACTGCTATTTCACCAGCCTTAAGAAATCATACCCCCATGATGCAGACTTTTCCTCACCTTTAATGAGTTCTTTGACTATGTTTCTCTCATCTTATCTACCACAGTTCAACTAAAAACACAGAAGATCCGGTGCAAAATTCAATTAAATAAACATTTTATTATGCCATCTATGCTAGATGCTGTAAATACAAAAATGAATAAAACACAGGCCTTGCCCTAAAGAGTGAAGAGATTTGGCTGGGGAGCAGTGGGCTAACCTAATTGTTACTAAATGGGGGGGGGGGCACATGCTATAACAGAAAGTTGAAGGGCAACCTATCCCAAAGATGGGCCTACTCTTCTCTGAGCAGGATCACAAACAAAGCAATATCTTTATTCCAGGATGATATTTTAAAAGGGCACACACAGGTAAGGAACAGATATCTTTTCTTAATAAAATGCTGATTTAACACTGTCTTGATAAACAGATTAGCATCAGCCTCTCTGCCCAAAACCTGGACGGGAGCCAAGCCAAGAGCTGATGTAGATTTTGTTTGGGAGAACAAAATCAAGGTGAAAGCCTATTCTAAGCATAAGATGGTCCTGGAATCTGGCAGATGGCAGCCAATAGCCCTGTGTGGAGGGCTATGGGGCCCATAATAGAATGAATACAGGACTTTCTCTGCTCTGCTCTGCTCTGCTCTCCTCTCCTCTGCTCTGCTCTCCTCTCCTCTGCTCTGCTCTGCTCTCCTCTCCTCTGCTCTGCTCTGCTCTGCTCTGCTCTCCTCTGTTCTGCTCTCCTCTCCTCTGCTCTGCTCTGCTCTCCTCTCCTCTCCTCTGCTCTGCTCTCCTCTCCTCTGCTCTGCTCTGCTCTGCTCTGCTCTCCTCTGTTCTGCTCTCCTCTCCTCTCCTCTGCTCTGCTCTCCTCTCCTCTCCTCTGCTCTGCTCTCCTCTCCTCTGCTCTGCTCTGCTCTGCTCTCCTCTCCTCTGCTCTGCTCTCCTCTCCTCTCCTCTGCTCTGCTCTCCTCTGCTCTGCTCTCCTCTCCTCTGCTCTGCTCTCCTCTCCTCTCCTCTGCTCTGCTCTCCTCTGCTCTGCTCTCCTCTCCTCTGCTCTGCTCTCCTCTCCTCTCCTCTGCTCTGCTCTCCTCTGCTCTGCTCTCCTCTGCTCTGCTTTCCTTTCCTCTGCTCTGCTTTCCTCTCCACTCCTCTCCTCTGCTCTGCTCTCCTCTCCTCTGCTCTGCTCTCCTCTCCTCTGCTCTGCTCTCCTCTCCTCTCCTCTGCTCTGCTCTCCTCTGCTCTGCTCTCCTCTGCTCTGCTTTCCTTTCCTCTGCTCTGCTTTCCTCTCCACTCCTCTCCTCTGCTCTGCTCTCCTCTCCTCTCCTCTGCTCTGCTCTCCTCTGCTCTGCTTTCCTCTCCTCTGCTCTGCTCTCCTCTCCTCTGCTCTCCTCTGCTCTCCTCTGCTCTGCTCTGCTCTCCTCTCCTCTGCTCTGCTCTGCTCTCCTCTGCTCTGCTCTGCTCTCCTCTGCTCTCCCCTCCTCTTCTCTCCTCTGCTCTGCTCTCCTCTGCTCTGCTCTCCTCTCCTCTCCTCTGCTCTGCTCTCCTCTCCTCTGCTCTCCTCTGCTCTGCTCTGCTCTCCTCTCCTCTGCTCTGCTCTCCTCTGCTCTGCTCTCCTCTGCTCTCCCCTCCTCTCCTCTCCTCTGCTCTCCCCTCCTCTCCTCTCCTCTCCTCTGCTCTCCCCTCCTCTCCCCTCCCCTCCCCTCCCCTCCCCTCCTCTCCTCTCCTCTCCTCTCCTCTCCCCTCCCCTCCTCTCCCCTCCTCTCCTCTCCTTTCCTCTCCTCTCCTTTCCTTTCCTCGTCTCTTCCTCTTGCCTCTCCAAGGCCCTTCTCCCTTACCTCTACAGCCCTTCACAATTCAAAGTAAACTGAATTGTGAAGAGAGAAGTTAAGTGAGCCATTCTAGCTCATATCTAGATTCAAGGACATTACACCCATCACCTGGTGGGATTGAAGAAAGAGCTGTCAGCTTTATTCCCTGACTTCTGTTTTTGACCTTGTGCACTTTGAGATCTATGAGTGTCAGCAGCCAACTGTAGGAAGATCCACCCTAAATGTGCAGTATCTGAAGGAGAGAACAATTGGCCTAGCTGAGGCAGAAGTTGGAGATACTGTCTTTTGAAGTCCTGTCAAGATCTAAAATAACATCAATCTGAGGTTGCTGAAATGATGGAGGAGGCTCAGGTAAGAGTCAACTCTTCACTGTGAATTGTCTTGGTGCTAAAGTCTGGCTTTTCTCACCTCAGTGTCCTGCTGAACCATCAACGTAGAGCTGAGCCAGGATGGGGATTATCAACTTGGCATGTGTGTGTGTGCATTTAAATGTGTGTGTGTGCCTAACATGTCCAATATAAGACATAAATTATTTTTAGATTCTCCATTAATCACGTGGAGGACTCAGTACATTTCCCCTGCAGGAGAAGCTCCAATGGATCAGGCACATCCTAGCCATGACCCTGAAACCAATCAACCAACAGGGAAATGTGAGATAGACACAGGCAATGATTCTTGGATGCTGTATGTGGGTATATGATGTGGTGTCTGGACCTCAGGACACCCTGCCTACTCAAAAGGCTGTGCCTCTTTCTGTCCCTGATAGTTCTATCTGTCCACCTTCCCCACTCTAGGCAAGTCTGTTGACAATACCCATCTTCATGGTTCTTCCCAGGCTGCTTCTTCTTGCTTCATTCTCTTCCTTGCCCATCAAACCTTCCCACCAGGATCTCTGTTATCCCACTCCTGCCTCTACTCACCATCCAGCACCACCCCCTGACCAAAAGTCCTAAAGTGAGAGAGATGGAGGTCCTCTTCTTTCCACATTCCACATTAGAAGTAGCTGTGGCATCCCAGTTCTCCACACAGCCCATTTCATGCCTCCCATCCATGGTTTGAGTGTGCTACTTCCTCTGCTGTGAAAACCCTCTCCTCTTTGCTGGGCTATTTCAAGAATCAGCTCAGACACAATTGAAGCGTTCCTTGATCTCTCACAGATCCTCTCCCTGGAGCTTCACTCTTCCTCTGAGCTCTCATTGCGCCCTTTGTTGACCTCTAACATAGCCCTTCCCATATAACATTTAAATTATTGGTACATGTGTTTGTTTCCCTAGTCTGACCATGAGCTCTTCAAGGGCAGTGACGGGTCCAAGGTCAAGGACCATGTCTCTGTCATCTTTGGATATGCAGCATGCATAGCAGTGAATGGCAGGAACACAGTGGGTACTTAGTGTATACCACTTATTGAACTGCAATGAACACTAATGAAAAGAACACTGATGGGTTAATCAGCTCAGGGTTCTGTAACAAAATACCACAGACTGGGTAGCTTAAACAATGGAAATTTATTTCCTGGAGGCTGGGAGTCCAAGATCAAGGTGCCAACAAGGTTGGTGGCTGAGGCCTTTCTCCTTGGCTTGCAGATGGCAACCTCCTGGCTATGTCCTCACATATCCTTTTCTTCTGTGCTCATGTAGAGAGAGAGACTTAGTATCTCATCCTCTTCTTATAAGGATGTCAGTCCTACTAGATTAGGGTCCTTTCCTTATGACCTTGTTTAACTTTAGTTAACTCCTTAAAGGTCCTGTCTCCAAATAAAGTCACATTGGGGTTAGGGCTTCAATCTGTGAGTTTGGGGAGACACAGAGTTTAGTCCATAATAACTGGTGAACTTGCATTTAGAAGATTGAGGCTCAAGCAGTGACTTTACCTAAACTTAAGTGAGTGCTTTTGGGCAGCGAGTCCATTATCCTCTAGGATCCTTAACTTCTCTGTTACAGGTGGCAAATTTTATGGGGTTGTTATGAGGCTAAAATGAGATCATGACTGGAGGACATTTTATGGACTATAAGTTCCTACACAATAATAGTGACAATGATTCCTTCAACTAATACATCATCTTGCAGTTTGCAATGTGGTTTAAAATGCACTGTATCATTCAACATACATGCAAGGAATCATTGTCGTTGTTATTACTACTACAGGAATGCTTAAAAGGGAAGTTTGTTTATGATTCATACCCATAAATCCTAGTTGCAGAAAGGATTCAAGGCAGCTTCCAACGAAAGCCCCTGTCCATGAAATGGCATTACCTATGACTTCTCACAGAAGCTGCAGAAAAGGCCCAGGAAAGTGTTGAAGAAATGAATGACCACCAGGAGAATCTGGAGGAGGCTGATGCACAAAAGGGCAGAGAAGAAGGACACGTGCCAAATGACGGCTTTAAACGGCTCCAGGCAGACAGAGGTCCAGAGGGAGTGGTCATATAAATAATTCCTGTCCCCGGAAATAAAGAGACAAGGGGTTGAGAGATAAGTAAGAAATGCCAAATAAGCAACCTCAATAGACAGTTGGGGCCTCCCACAGCTCAAGTCACAGGCCTCGGTTCATTCTTGAGGGTGACTATTGTTGCTGCATTTGCAATTTTTGAGCATCAGAGGAGTGAGATGCTAGAATGCACCACCAAAAGAAGTTTGTAGGCTCTCTCTCTCTTTCTCCCTCCTTCCCTCCCTCCTTCTCCTTCTCTCTACCCCCCCCCCTGCTTTCTCTCTCTCTCCCTGAAAAGGCTACAAACCCACTCAAGTCTCCACCCATGTACCTGTTTTGTAGGTCTTTGAATGGGTAGCCATATTTCCAAGCTTGCGTCTGGTTGAAGGATGAGACAGTGAACATGCAAAAAGGACCATCTTTCAAGGCTACTCCAGAAGTGAGAAAGCAAATCAAGGCTCCAAGCAAAGCCAGGCCACTTGACAACAGAGCAGTGAGCATCTGCAGAAGGAGAGAAGAAACAGTGAGCCTGAGATGGGGTCGTGACTAGGTGACTTGTGGGGCCACCTGGAAACTTCTCTGGTGCGCAGGCTTTCCCCCATAATATCATATGGGGCTACTCCTACCCATGGCACCTCCTTTAAAGCTTAACCAAGGTAGGGTGGCTGATGAGGGGCCACTGGGTAGAGCTAGGAAGGGGTGGAAGAGAAAGAATTGAGAAGGGGGAAACTCTGGCACTTGAACTTGGATCTCCCTGACTCAGTAGGCTCTTCAGAGCTTTTCAACAGGTTAGCATCAAAAAACTTTTCAGCTCAGCCATGGCTGGTGTGATTCAGTAGGTTGGAGCATCATCCAGCGCATCGAAAGGTTGTGGGTTTGATTCCCAGTCAGGGTGTGTATGGGAGGCAACTGATCAGTGTTTCTCTCTCACATTGAAGTTTCTCTCTCTCTCTCTCTCTCTCTCTCTCTCTCTCTCTCTCTCTCTTCCCCTTCCTCTCTCTAAAATCAGTTTTATTTATTTATTTATTTTTTTTTTTGTTATCCTCACCCGAGGATATTTTTCCACTTTTTGTACAGATAGAGTGGGAGGGAGAGAGAGGAAGGGAGAGAGAGAGAGAAACATCAACGTGAAGGGACACATCGAGTGGCTGCCACCCGCACGACCAACCAGGGCCGGGGACAAACTGCAACCAAGGTACATGCCCTTAGCGGGAACCGAACCCGGGTCTCTCCGGACCGCAGGCCGACGCTCTAACCGCTGAGCCAAACTGGCCAGGGCTAAAATCAGTTTTAAAAAAGAAACACTTTAAAGCTCAGACTGCAGTTATTCAGCCTCTGAGTCAAAGGGTCAGAGAATCATATGCCCTCTTCTCTTTTAAGGAAAGCTGTATTTTCAAAAGTTCCAAGCTTCCATCTCTGATTCCTGTCTTTTTCAAGCATGAAAGGCAGGAAGGGAGGAAGAAGAATAGGAGGATAAGAAAGAAAGGAAGGAGGCAGAGATAAAGAAGAAGAGAAACAGAGACAGAAATTTTAGTCAGCTCTGAAATGACACCCGTTTCGTCACTGTACTTTTCTGGTCTCTGCAACACTTTCCGCTTCCAAAAGATAACAATGAGTTTATTTTTTGGCAGGATTCTAGTTTGCTTCCAAATTGGCTTCTTTCCCAAGATACAAGATTTTTTTTTCCTCCCTTCCAAAGTATACATGAAAGGCGTGAAGTGTTTTTCTTTGTTTGTTTTTTGTTCTTTATTAGAGAGAGAGAGAGAGAGAGAGAGATTTATTTTTGTTGTCCTACTTACTTATGCATTCATTGGTTGCTTCTTGTATGTGCCCTGACCTAAGATCAAACCTGCAACCTTGGCCTATCAGGACAACACTCTAACCAACTGAGCTACCCAGCCAGGGCCAGGTATGTAGTAAGTTTTGACTCTTAAGTTAAAAGAGTCAAGATAAACTAGTCTCATGTAAGCCTAGGACAGTAATTCTCTTTTTTGGGAGGATCATATTTGTTTTATTTATTTTTTATTTAATTAATTTATTTATTTTTGTTACAGATGTTTCTTCTCCCCCCCCCACCGATTCCCCACTTCCTCTCCCTCCCTGCCCTGTCCCCAGCTTTGTTGTCCATGTCCATTGTTCATGCATACATGCATATAAGTTCTGTGGTTTATCTCTCCCCCTCACCCCCTCTTCTGGAGATTGTCAGTCTGTACCCCACTTCCACATCTCTGGGACTACCCCATTCCTCAGACTGTTATGTTCATTATAGTCCATAAATGAGATCATAAGATACTTGTCTTTCTCTGTTTGGCTTGTTTCGCTTAGGATGACATTTTACAGGTCCCTCCATGTCATCTCAAAAGATGAGAGATCTTTCTTTCTTACAGCTGCATAGTACTCCCTTGTGTATATGTACCACAGCTTTGTTATCCATTTGTCTGCTGATGGGCACTTGGGCTGTTTCCAGATCTTAGCTATTGTAAATAGTGCTGCTACAAACATGGGGGTACATATATTCTTTCTGATTGGTGTTTCAGGCTTCTTAGGGTATATTCCTAGAAGTGGGATCACTGGGTCAAATGGAAGTTCATTTTTAATTTTTTGAGGTAACACCATATTGTTTTCCATAGTGGCTGCACCAGTCTGCAGTCCCACCAGCAGTGCACTAGAGTCCCCTTTTCTCCACACCCTCGCCAACACTTGTTGTTTGATGATTTGTTGATGGTGGCCATTCTGACAGGTGTGAGGTGATACCTCATTGTTGTTTTAATTTGCATCTCTCTGATGATTAGTGATGTTGAGCATTTCTTCATATGTAGGACAGTAATTCTCAAACTGTGGTCCCTGTCTCAACAGCAGCACCTCACCTAGAAACTTGTTAGTGATGCAAATTTTCCCATTTCACCCCAGACCTACTGAATCAGAAACTCTGGGGGTGGGGTGCAGCAATCTGTGTTTTAACAAACCCTGCAGGAATTCTGATGCACACTCAAGTCTGAAAACCACTCGCCTAGGGGAAAACCAGATATGACTGAGAACAAATAGTAATGAAATGTGTAGGTGTTTATAATTAATTTTTTTTCTTTAAGTGCACTCTTTTTTTTTTTTTCTTTATTGATTTTAGAGAGAGAGGAAGGGAGAGGGAGAGAGAGACAGAAACATCCATGAGAGAGAACATCCATCAGCTGCCTCCTGCACGTGCCCCCACTGGGGATTTGGCCCACAACCTGGGCATGTGCCCTTACTGGGAATCGAACTAGTGACCTCTTGGTGCATGGGTCGATGCTCAACCACTGAGCCACACTGGGTGGGCCTATATTTAATTCTTTAACATAATTGTGAATCAGTGGGGTTCCCAATATATGGGCTGCAAATATCAAAATAGACTGTGGAGTTACTGTAAGGAGACCACAAATTCAGGTGTCTGAGACTGAGTAAGCAATATAGTGTGTAAGAAAACTGAGAGTTTTCAAATAAATATAGATGCTACTGTAATTAATAAAGGGCAAATTTATTCTGGGCCTTAGTTTCATTATATGTAAAAAGGAGAGGTTAAACTAAAATCTAGTCATTAGATGATCTCCGGAGAACCTTTCAACTCTCAAAAAATTAAGTAAAATAGTCAGAAAATTTTCTATCAGAAACATATGATTACCCAAAGAACTTATATGCATACATGCATAACCAATGGACACAGACAGTAATTTGGGAAAAGCAGGAGGGGGGTGGGAGTGGGGAAGAGGGGGTCAATGGGGGAAAAAGGAGGGACATCTGTAATACGTTCAACAATAAAGATAAAAAAATAAAAATAAAACACACAATTACAATCTGCATTACTCATGCCCACATTGTTCATGGGCTAAAAAGTAATAATAACAGTTCTCACATTTGTATAGACATTTATGGTTCATTACAACATTTATGGTTCATTAAATAACAGGATCATTGACTTGACCCTGTTAACTCCCATTTTACAGATGAGGACCTGAGGCTCAGAAACTGACTTTAAACCCCATGACCAAAATTGCCTTTTCACCACTCTGCCTCTAAAGTAATAGAATGTGGGGACATTCTAGGTATTAGAAGAGTAGAATCTGGCACTTACGCTTCGGCAGGGCCCACTCTGGCTGAAACAGCCGTATCTCCAGCCCACCAAGGAGATGAGGGTAGCCGCAATGAGTACCTGGGAACGGAGAGAAGAGTGAGTGTTAAGAAGAGACTGGGTAATTTACATCTCTAGCTGCCACCTGTGGCTGTTGAACTAGCGTGGTTGGGCACCTCACATGAACTTGATTATCCTGTCTTTCCCAGAGGGTTTGGCTTTGACTATCAGGACCCTTTTGGATGACTAGCTGATCTGACTATTGATGGCAGCGTTCACACCCAGTATGCCTAGTCCAAAATTCAGCAATTCTTCCTAGAGCCTTCTAACCCTCAAAGTTGCCGTAGACTCAAGACCAGCTTGTTAGATAAAACTTTTTTGCAAGGAATCAAAACACTCCTCCCCCATCACCTCCCTGCTCCACCCCTCGAGGGCACTTTGGGAGTTTACACTAAGGGAACCCAGGACACTTACCATGAGTCCTCCTCCCCAGAGCCCAGAGCCCAGCATGGCATGCTTGCCAATGAGGCCTCTCAACAGGTAGGTCACATCCCAGTTAGGAAAGAGGAGCACCATGTTGGCCCCAGCAGCAAACAGGGCTGTAGTCCCGAGGCTCAGCCCCAGAATACGGGAGCAGGTCCTTGAGCATGCCATTATGCAGGGGCAGGACAGGGTCCTAGAACAATGGAAGGAGAGTCATGGTAGCTCTGTGACTAGGAGCATGGGGTGAGGGAAACTGACTACAGATACTGTCACCTCCCAGGGTCAGACCCAGAAGAGCCAAGGAACTTGCTCAAAAACTCTGCCTCTTATAAATGTATCCCAATAGATAGGATTTCATGGCTCCACTTTCTGCCAACTCACACACACACACACACACACACACACACACACACACACACACACACACTTCATCCCATCATGTTTTGTACCTCTATTACAGCCAGTGACTATTTCTATTTGGTACAGAAGAACATTTTAAAGGTGTCATCCTCTTTTTAAAAAAGATGTCACTTTAAAGATGTCCACTATCACCACTTTCATTCAACATTGTACAGGAGGTCCTTTCCATTACAATAAGAAAATGCAAAGAAGCCATACTCACAAGAAAGGAAGAATTGTCATTATTCACAGGTAACATGATTATCTATGTAAAAAATCCCAAGGAATCTATCAAAAAGCTACTAGGAATGATAGGTGAGTTTAGCAAGTTCACAGAATAAAACATTAATATACAAAAATTCTATTGTATTTCTATGTACAAGCAATGATAAATTGTCAAAATTTTAAAAACACCATTTATAATAGCACAAAATTGGAAAACTAAGAACATGAAAAGACACCCAACATCATTAACATGGAAAATGCAAATTAAAACCAAAATAAGATAATACTACACACCCACTGGATTTACTAGAGTTAAGAAGTTGGACTATACCAAGTGTTGGTGAGGATGTAGAGCAACTGGAACTCCCAGAGAGAGCTGGTGAGAAAGCAAATGGTACAACCCTTGGGAAATAAATTTGGCAGTTTCTTATAAAGCAGTGGTTCTCAACCTCTGGGTTACGACCCCACTGGGAGTCGAACAACCATTTCACAGGGGTCATCTAAGACATAACAGTAGCAAAATTATAGTTATGAAGTAGCAACAAAAATAATTTTATGGTTGGGGGTCACCACAACATGAGGAACTATATTAAAGGGTCGCAGCATTAGGAAGTTTGAGAACCACTAAAAGTTAAACATTCACTTACCAAATGTACCACTTCTACATATTTATCCAAGAGAAATGAAAACAACTGTCCACACAGAGGCTAGTACTTGACTTTTCATAGCAGCTTTATTCATAATAACTAAAAATTAAAAATACAAATACATTCTAAGTATCCACCAACAGATGAATGGATAGACAAAATGCATATATGTTTATATACACAATGAAATATTATTCAGCCATAAAAAGGAATGCAGCTCTGTTACATGCAACAACATGAATGAAACTTGAAATAATTATGCTAAATGAAATAAGCCAGACACTAAAGGACAAATACATATGATTCCACATATGTATATGAAATATCCAGAATAGGCAAACTCATAAAATAGAAAGTAGGTTAGAGATTACCAGAGACTGGGGAGTGAGGAATGGGGAGTAATTGTTTAACGGTAGCAGATTTTTTGTTTGAGGAAATGAAAAAGTTTTGGAAGCAGATAGTGGTGATGGTTACACAGCATTGTGAATGTAATTAGTGCCTCTGAACTGTATACTTTAAAATGGTTAAAATAAACTCTGTTACATATATTTTATCATAAGAAAAAATCAATTAAAAATGAGAAATACACACACAAAAAAGAGAGAGACAGAGAGAGAAATAACTCAAATGCTCATCAATGTGAATAGATACATTGTGGTATATCCATACAACTGAGTACTACTACTAGGCAATAAAAAAAAACTACTGATACATGCAACAACATGGACAAATCTCAAAAGTATTATGCTAAGTGAAAGAAGCCAGAAACAAAGATTACTCATTGTATGATTCTGTTTATATGAAATTCTAGGAAAAGAAAAACTATTGATAGAAAGCAGATCCGTGGTTGCCAGGGGCTGCGAATGGAAGAGGGAATTAATATGAGGGACATAAGGAAACTTTTTGAGGTGATTGAAATATTCTAAATCTATATTCTGGTGGCAAATTCACAACTTATATGTACTGACAAAACTCACCAAACTACTCTGAAAATTAGTGAATTTTATTACAGTATGAATGAAATTGATTAAAAATTAAAATGTCATATTTATATAGGTTATAAAATGTCTCCTCTATATCTTTACTTATAGCCATTATACTTGTTTTCTTTTTTTTTATCCTCACCCAAGCACATTTTTGCATTTATCTTCAATAGAGTGGGAAGGGAAGGATGGAGAGAGGAAGAGAGAGAGAGAAACATCGATGTGAGAGAGACACATCGACTGGTTGCCACCCACACAGCCCTAACCTGGATGGGGGACAAACTGCAACAGAGGTACATGCCCTTAGCGGGAACCGAACTTGGGACTCTCTGGGCTGCAGGCCAACACTCTAACTGCTGAGCCAAACCGGCCAGGGCACCATTATACTTTTTAAAAATTAAGCTTAGAGAGAGGAAGAGAGGGAGAAAGAGACTGAGAGAAAAACACCAATGTGAGAGAGGAAACATCGATTGGTTGCCTCCCGCCCACACCCTACAGGAGATCAAACTCACAACCTGGTTATGTGCCCTTGACCCAGAATCCACCCCTCAACATTTTAGTGTATGGGATGACGCTCCAACCAACTGAGCCACACTGGCCAGGGCATAATCTTTTATATTTTCATTGATATGTGAAATTCTTGTTTTGTTTTATTTTATATATGAAATAGCACAGAACTAGTAATAGTAGGGTAAATTCACATCACCATGGATCTGAAGAAAGTCAATACCATGACATCCTCAAGAAGTGGCCCGCTGCCACTTTGCAATTCACTTACATGTCTGTCTCACTTTAAGGCTCTTGACACTCCCCTCTAACACATTGCTTTGCACATATTTTTTTTTTAATGTATAGATCAGTTTCTCTCTCTTACACATACATATACATACACATACATATATAATGAAATATTTTGGTGTTTAAAGAGTTAAACATAATGTATATAATATATTTGTCCTTGTAAATTGTATGGGATAATTAAACAACATCCATGTAAATACAACCAGTTTATAAATAGATCAGTGCCACAAATATTATGAAGCCCCAAGTGTGTCCTCTCTAATCCTACCATCTTCCTGGATTCCTTTCTAGGAATGACTATCCTAATTTTTATAAAACAGTTTTATAACTTATGAACTAAAAAGAAAAAAGATTAGCCTGGCATTTTCTATCTGACCAGACTGACGTTTATGGTCAGAGGCTGATGTCAGACGTAGCCCTGAGTAGGGCATTTGGTTGGGGATGCTCCCCAGCCTGCCAGCTCTTGGTGACTTTTGCTTCCCCTAATCTCAGAACCAAGATCATCTCCTGACTCCTGCCAACAGCGAGCTTCCTGCCTCAATGGCATTTGCATTTTAGTGTGGTGAGTTGCCTTTACTCTATGCCCTCTCCACAGCATCTTCACTCGCTATGGCTTGTTCCTCACAGTGAATTGAATAGCTGGTCCCTGATGAAAGTTCAGATTTCAGTGGAGAGGGGCACTGCTGGGGGAGTTCAGGGTAGGACATGAAGGAACAATGGCTCTTACCCCAGGGATACAAGGGGCCTGAAGGGAAGGGTGTAGATCAGGGATCTGGAGGGACAGTATGTCCTGTCTCCTGCCCTCTCCCCCAGCTGGCCCATCACAGGAGGCCTCTTTTCCTGACCCCTGTACCAGCTGCTTCCTCCTCAGGTCCTCAGGGTGACGAGCCTACCCTGCTGTCAGGAGGCAGAGCCCCTACAGGATAACAGTCCTCCCCATAGTTCTGGATGCAAGTGTGTGTCTGGACAGCCTTCCTCTTCAAACTGTCTTGTCCCTGAGTGCAGGGCTGTCAGTGTGTTGGAGTGAATTCATCAATTAGGGAGGGGTTAGCAAGTAACCACTTTAACCCACACCCCACCCAGATGACTGACATTTCATCAGGGGCCCACGTGAGGACTGCATGTGGCTGGACTTTCAAGCATGCTCTCTAGACCACAGGCTGAGAGAAGCTTTGGTTTAGGAATGCCTTCAGCTGCCTTCGAATCATTCCACCTCTGAGTAAGTCCTGTCAAGACACAGATCACCGATACAGCCGCCCCTTGATAAGTTCTTCTATGGGACATTTTCCTGTCAGGAAAGTTTTAGAAGGGATACTAAAAAATATGGACATGCAGAGGGAAAGTAGGAAGTTGAGGCTGGCCTTTGGATGAGTGGAATTCAGAGACTCCTGGCTGATCTTATGCCCAAAGGACTTGCTGTGCTGCACTGTCCGGAAGGGCTGGGGCTTTTGTATTTCACTTCCTCTCCCTGACTTTGTTCCCTAGAAATCACAACATTCTAAAACATGCCTCCAAAAATGTGAGCCAGGAGATGATCAAAGAGGTTGGCTAGCCCTGGCCGGTTTGGCTCAGTGGTTAGAGCATCGGCGTGCGGTCCAGAGAGACCCAGGTTCAGTTCCCGCTAAGGGCACGTACCTCGGTTGCAGTTTGTCCCCGGCCCTGGTTGGTCGTGTGGGTGGCAGCCACTCGATGTGTCTCTTTCACGTCAATGTTTCTGTCTCCCTCTCTCTTTCTCTCTCTCCCTCCCACTCTACCTGAACAAAAAAGAGAAAAATGTTCTCAGGTGAGGATAAAAAAAAAAAAAAAAGAGGTTGGCTAATTTGATGTCTGAAAGGACAAGCAGGATCATAAGGTAAAACCTTAAAACCAGACTTTAGGGGAGGCCTTGTGCAACCTGAGGTCCCGGCTGGGTGAACAAATCATCAGCTGGGTGTCTGGGCAACAACATAAGTGATCAACTAAGTCATTGGACTGCAAATGCTCTGTGTGTCTGTCAGTCTCATTCATCATCTAGACAGGCTGTTCATTCCTTCCTTCATGAACAGTCCAATATTTAAGTGACAATTTTCTGCCAGGCACTATGCCAAGGATTAGGGGTACAATGGTGACACATATACAGTCTCTGCTCTGGAGGAACTTAAGGACTGGAGGGGTCACTGGTAAGGCAATAAGCAAGTGCCAAGCAGAGGTATTCAACTTAGGGTGTAATGGGAGCACACAGAGGAACAACTAATCCTGTCCTGCAGACATCAGTCCAAACCTCCTAGAGGAATGCTGTCCAAGCTACAACTTAACTGACAACAGGCATTAGACAGGCAAAGTTGGGAAGGGGAAAGTATGGAAAGCATATATAAAGGCCTGACGTTGACAGAGAGACTGAGGCAAAGAGGTTAAATGGGTTGCACCACTGCTTGGGGCAGAGCCAGGGCTCATGTGGGTGCTCTAAACTGCTAGGTCATGCTGCGCCCTGGCCTTTACCTCACTGGCCCCTTTCATCTCTGCTTACCTGCATCTGGTGGCAAGAATCAGGAGGGGAGAGACAGAACCTGGAGAAGGGCTTCGTCTTCGGAGTGGGCATGCACTCCTTCAAGCTTGAACTCCTGCAGGTCCCGACCCAGAGGATCCTCTGTCAGGACCCTTGCGAAGGGCCAGAGAGGCTGTATATATGTAGAGGTCATCCCAGGTGAGTGTGTGTTGGGGTGTGTGAGTGTGCCCCCACACCAATGCCCACAGGCTTCCTTTAAAGGAACTTTCCTCTTCCTGGAGAGCCCTCTTCTGATGACCCATCCGTTGCTCATTTTCATGTGACCCTAAGAAAGGAACCAGGAAGCATGGCCTTGTGAGCTAACATGTCTTAATGAGTCAGGGGACATCCCTGAGAAACGTCTTATCTTCCCTTCTTTTTTTTTGCTAATCCTCACTGGAGGATATTTTTTCATTAATTTTTTAGAGAGAGTAGAAGAGGGAGGGAGGGAGGGAGAGTGGGAGAGAGAAACATTGACGTGAGAGAGACACATTGATTGGTTGCCCTGACCAGGAGTCGAACCTGCAATCCAGGTACATGCCCTTGTCTGGGAATTGAACCAGAGACCCTTTGGTCCTAGGGCTGGCGCTCTAACCACTGAGCAACACCGGCCAGGGTTTATCTTCCCAAGCAGCAACACTGTTTCACATACCAGCTCTCCATATTTGTTTCACTCATTGCAGAATTTGGGCCCTTTGGAAGAACAACCCTGAGCAGAACAGCCACCATTTTTTCCTTATTACTCTCCTCGCTTTGCTCGTAGCTCATTGGATGTATTGCATGGTTCCTTTACCTTTACATGGTGCCTTTCAACATTTTTGTTCAAGCCCCAGGTCCCCATCATCTTGTAGCACAGTCACACCAGACTGTGGAACATTTTGTGGTGCTCTCTGCATGGGAGATCTGTGACCCACTGCTTGTTTTTTAGAATTTAAAAAATAACTTTATTATGAAGGCAACCTAAAAGAAATAAGAAAACCTTCACTATAATCTTTTTTTTTAATCCTTACCCAAGGACATATTCATTGATTCTCAGAGAGAGGGGAAGGGTGAGAGAAAGAGAGAGAAACATCCATATGAGAGAGATAACCGATTGGTTGCCTCTTGAGCCCCGACAGGGGATTGAATCTGCAACCTAGGTATGTGCCCTGATCAGAAATTGAACCCAAGACATTTTGCTGTACTGGACAACAATGCTCCTATCACCCAAGCCACATGGGTCAGGGTACCATAATCTTTTCTATTTTTTAATTTTTTTCTTTATTGAATTTAGAGAGAGAGAGGAAGGGAATGGGAGAGAGAGACAGAAACATTGATGAGAGAGAACATCGATTGGCCGCCTCCTGCCTGCCCCACACTGGGGATTTGGACACTTGCTCTGTCCGGGAATCTAACCAGTGACCCCTTGGTGCATGTGTTGATGCTCAACAACTGAACCACACCAACCAGGCACCATAGTCTTTTTATTTTTATTTATTTATTTATTTATTTATTTATTTATTTATTTATTTATTTATTTATTTTTATCTTCACCCAAGGACATTTTTCCATTTTTGTCAGATAGAGTGGAAGGGAGAGAGAGGAAGAGAGAGAGAGAGAGAAACATCGATGTGAGAGAGAGACACATCGAGTGGCTGCCTCCCGCATAATCCCAACCAGGACTGGGGACAAACTGCAACTGAGGTAGTGGGAACCGAACCCGGGTTTCTCTGGACCACGGGCCGTTGCTCTAACCTCTGAGCCAAACCAGCCAGGGCAACCATAATCTTTTTATACAACTATTTTGATATTTCTGTTTTCATATAGATAACCTATTTTACATAGTTATATTAGTAATATATTGCCTTTTTCACTAATTATGAAACCATAAACACTTCCTATGATTCTATAGCTTTAATAGTAATCCTTGTAATGTCTATATAATATTGCTCAGGCAATGATTTATTTATCCTTTAAAAAAAAAAAAAACACTTATCTTTATTGTTGAAAGTATTATAGATGTCCTTCATTTTTTCCCCCATTGTCCACCCTGCTGTCCACTCCCCCCTATTCCTGCCTTCCTTACACTATTATCTGTGTCCATTGGTTATGCGTATATGCATATAAGTTCTTTGGTTTATCTCTTCCTGCCCCCTACTTCCTTCTGAGGTTTGTCAGTCTAACAACCAATTTGTACTTCCTTTTTTAAAAAAATATATTTTTATTGATTTTTTTTAGGTAGAGAAGAAAGGAGAAGGGCAGGGTAATAGAAACATTGATGAGAAAGAAACATCAATTGGTTGTCTCCTGCACAGCCTCAACCAGGGCCAGGGATTGACCCTGCAACCCATGTACATACCCTTGACTAAGAATTGAACCTGTAATACTTTGGTTCTCAGGCCAATGCTCTACCAAACCAACCAGGGCTCTCTTGGTGCTTTAAAGATTCTCTCTTTGTCTTTAACCTTTTGCATTTTTATGATGATGTATCATGGTATGGGCCTCTTTGGACTCATCTTGTTTGGGACCTTCTGTGCTTCCTGGACTTGTATGTCTGTTTCCTTCACCAAGTTAGAGAAGTTTTCAGTCATTATTTTTTCAAATGGGTTTTCAATTTCTTGCTCTCTCTCTTCTCCTTCTGGCACCCCCATGATATGAATGTTGGTACACTTAAAGTTGTCCCAGAGGCTCCTCATACTATCCTCATTTTTTTTGGATTCTTTTTTTCTTTTTTGCTGTTCTGATTGAATGTTTTTTGCTTCCTTATATTCCAAATTGATGATTTGCTTCTCAGCTTCACCTACTCTACTATTGTAAATTATTCTTTATTTCAGTTAGTGCATCCTTCATTTATGACTGGTCCTTTTTTATGCTCTTGAGGTTCCTCACTAAGTTTCTTGATCATCCTTATAAGCGGGTGTTTCGAACTCTGCATATAATTGATTGCTTATCTCCACTTCTTTTAGTTCTTTTCCTGGAGTTTTGTTCTGTTCTTTCATTTAGGACATGTTTCTTTGTCTCCTCATTTTGGCTGCCTCCCTGTGTTTGTTTCTGTATATTAGGTAGAGTTGCTATGTCTCTTAGGCTTCATAGGGTGGCCTATTGTAGTAGGTCTCCTGTAGGGTTTAGAGGCACAGCCTTCCTGATCACCCCAGGTGGGCCCTTGAGGTGCACCCCTCATGTGGACTATGCACCCTGCTGTTGTATTTGAGTCTTGATTGCTGTTGAAATGTCAATGGGAGGGATCTACTCAGGCTGATCAGCTGCAAAGACTGGCTGTGCCCACTGACTACTGACCTCTGACTACCTTAAAGGATGAGCTATTCAGGGTCCACCACACAGAGCAAGACTTACTTCAACAGGGCTCTGGTACCCACTGAGTCCGGTCCTTGAGTGTGTCACTTGTGGAGGTGGCTGGGTGGTGGTGCTTAGATGTGGTCTGAAGCTATCCACTGGTTGTGCTGGCTCTGGGGCAAGGTCAGCAACTGCCTGTGTTCTACCTGGGACTACCAGGCATAAGCTACCAAGAGATCTGCAGATGGCTACTGCTTGTGCTGGGCTTGGAGGTACCCAGGCAAAACCGAGTTGTGAACCAAGGCTGGCTGCTTTTAGTGCCAGGCCTGGGGCCAGTTAGCGGGAGGCATGAGACTCACTGAAGCCTGATGATGCTTGTTTGAGAGAATTTAGGAAAATCTAAAGCAGGAACCAAGACAGGCCAATCCTATGGTAAAGCCACTGGAAACAGCTTGGGAGGGCCTGAAAGTTGGGTGGGGCAGGGCCTCAGGGAATCACTAGGACAAATAGTGTGAGCCAGGTTGCTGGAGTCCCAGATATGGCACCTGTCTGTCGGCCAGGTGAGGAAAGGGCTCACCAAAGGAACAGTGGCCTCCTCCAGCAAGTCTGTCTGAGAGAAAGTTGCCCTACAGTTTTCCCCACCCCAGTGTCAAAAACTCAGTTCTTCCCTGTATGTCTCTGGTGCCTTTCAGGCTGCCTCCCCCAGGCTGGAGCCTGGAGGGAGTGAATCTGAGTAAGTCTGCGCATGGGGCCTTTAAGAGGAGCTACTTGGGGCTCCAGCGCTTTAGCCTTCCTCAGCCTCAGTTCCCGCTGGTTTTTACGGCCAGAAGTTATGGGGACTTGTCTTCTTGGCACCGGAACCCTGAGCTGGGGGCCTGATGGGGGTTGGGGATGCCTTCCTTCTCACGGAGGACCTTGACAACCAAGGTAGCCCTCCTGATTTTTACCCACCACACGTGGGTGTGAGGCCAGCCTGTCCATGCCTCCGCCATTCCTACCAGGTCTCCATGTGACTTCTTTAATTTCGTAGTTGTAGGACTTCCATTCAACTCAGTTTCAGGTAGTTCTGGATGATGGTTGTTCTGTAGTTCAGCTGTAATTTTGATGCTGTTGTGGGAGGAGGTGAGTACCATGTTTACCTAGGCCCCTTCTTGACCTATTTATCCTTTTTATTAGATGTTTAGATTGTTTCTGTTTGGTTTGTTTGTTTTTTACATTAGAGGTGATGCATATAGCTTTTATTCTATGTATAATTATTTTCTCTTTTTCCAGTTTTTTTTTATTAATTTATTTTTGTTACAGATGTTTCTCCTTTTTTCCCCATTGACACCCTCCTCGCCATCCCCGCAATCCCGTCCCTAGCTTTGTTGTCCATGTTCATCGGTTATGTGTTCATGCATGTAAGTTCTGTGGTTTATCTCTTCCCTCCCCCTTGAACCCCTCCTCTGAGGATTGTCAGTCTGTACCCTACTTCCACGTCTCTGGGTCTACCCTGTTCCTCAGACTGTTATGTTCATTATATTCCACAAATAAATGAGATCATGTGATATTTGTCTTTCTCTGCTTGGTTTGTTTTGCTTAGGATAATACTCTCCAGGTCCCTCCATGTCGTCTCAAAGTGTTTAATTATTTTCTTTGGGATAAATTCCCAAGAATAGGATTACAGATCAAGGGATAGATATTTTTTGTTGTTGTTGTTAATCCTCACTCAAGGCTATTTTTTCCATTGATTTTTTTTTTTTTTTTTTTTTTGAGAGAGTG